GATAGGAATAAAGGGATTAGTTATAGTCTTCTTATGGTGTATGACCATCTCTGCCAAGTACATGTGAACTGCAAGCCTTTTACATATGCAACCATAAAAGTAATAAGAGCATTTAATATTGTATAGTTGCCATTCAAAACAGTGTTTGGGGAGAAGACTGTAATTAACAAAAACACTGTGAAAAACCACAGTGTTTGCTGTATGCCACCACAGCTTCTCCTTGACATTCTTGATGCTGCTGCTGGGCATAAAGTGGGATCAATTAAATAGGAAAGAAAAAAAGAACATTTTCTTCACAGCTACTTCAAAAGCCAAAACCATCCTGTCCTGTGTATTTTGGGTGAAGATCCGCATAGTGAAAGGAGTATCTTTGATGTCAGAACAGTGTGAATTTGTCCTTGGAGATGTGAATGAATCATCTGCTAAATCACCCCTTAGTGGACATGTCCGCAGACAACCACAATCAAACTTGGCCCATGAGGTGGTTATGGAAGTGGCCACATAAAGCTGTCTGCTGTTCTCTCTGATGGGCGATGCTTCCAAACATCAAGTTGACTTCTGGCTCAGTCAGTGTGCTGACTCTGGAGGCCTCTCTAAAGTGTTGAGAAACATAGCAATAAGCAAACTTTTAGCTGGAGTCAATATGAGTCTATATTATTGCAACCTTTACTGTTTGTGACCTATTTGGAGGTCAGGTTGATTCTATTTCACAGAATCACAGAATCCCAAGGGTTAGAAAGAACCTCAAAAGGTCATGTAGTCCAACCCCCCCTGCAAGAGCAGGGTAACCTAGAGTACATCACACAGGAACTTGTCCAGGCGGGCCTTGAATATCTCCAACATAGGAGACTCCACAACCCCCCTGGGCAACCTGTTCCAGTGCTCTGGCACTCTCACAGTAAAGAAGTTTTTCCTGACTTCTTCTTCACATTTTGTTTCTCATAAAGCTATTGTTAGATTTATTAAATGAGGACAGATTTCCTAGATTTTACCTGCAGTCTTTTCTAATCTCAGCTGTAGCCATAACTCTGAATTGACATGAGAAAGAAGATTTTCAACATGGAAAATAATGTTGTTCTTCATCAGGATAAAATACTGAGAGATTGAAGTATTCCTTTCATCAGCTTGTAGGCATGGATCCAGCCAAACAAATCATTCTTAGCTACCTCACATGGTATTGAATAGGTTTATATAGAACTTGTCTGCCACTTGTGCTATTTACAAGCTGATTTATTTTAAAACCAGAATGTGTTAACTAGCACCAAGGATGCAGAGTGCCTGAGGCAGTGTAGGAGCCTATGCTGGTATAAATTTTTCCTAGTGCTTGCACATCCTCATGGAACACAGCACCTGATGGAAAAATTTGCCAGAAGAAAAGGACGAATACTGGCAGATGGAGGTGAACAGATTGTCAGTTCAGACAAAGAGAGGAGCAGTGTATGAAGGAATGTGGCTGTAAGAAAACACAGCGATTAAGGTGAACAAATGTACCTAGCAGACTCCTGTCATCAGCCATACCGTTAACTTCATCAAGAGACAACTTTCCTTCCAGCTCTGGTCTGTACCAATGCACTTTCACCATGGATCTGTGAGGCAAGCATCTCTCAGTCCCTTCTGTCTGAAAGCTGATGGGTTTTGTCCGAAGCAGTTCTAAGGCAGTGTTGGTTTAATAATGCTGTCCCAGCTATTACACGAGCTTCAAATGAAGCGGTAGCAAAATAAAGAAGGGTTGGATGCCATATCCTGCACATGTGCTGTGCTGAGTTAAGAGGATGAGTTTGCTCTAGGCTCAGTATGTCCCTGGGTAGATGTGGGGCTTGCTACAGCCTGTAGCACAGCCAGGAGCCAGGAGGGTGCTTACCAGCCTAAGAGGACATCTTGAAAACAGAAAGAGGATGATAGCCTGGTAAAACAAAAGCAATTCCAAGTTAATAGCCTGCTGTTCTGCTCTCCCAGTTGTTTTAAAACCAATATTGAGAAAATAGTCTGATGAGTTTGGAAGGCTTGTTGGTGATTGTAAGAGAAAATAGGGGGTAGGGAGAGAGAATGCAGTTGCAGCTTTATGTGATGATCAGTAATCTGTTTCTTTTTATTCACACATCTAAGCAAGGCTGTAGTACTGAAAGAATAAAAATAATGGTCTTTTCTGTTCATTGATGGATACGAAAGTGTTAAAATTAGTGGTTTCTAATGGCAAACATGATGGGTTCATACAGAAGAGAGAGGAACAGTTAAATCTACTTCATGTCTGCGTATTTACTTTATGGCTGGACTTCTCCCATTATGTTCGTGCCCTGAGGGAGATGTGATTTCAAGGGTTTGGTTTAGATTTGGGTCATGTTTTACTGTTTGTGAAAGTCTAGTCTGTTCTCAAAAGAACTGTCTTTAAAACTTGATGAGTGGTTCCCTGTCTGGGAGTACTTGGGGAGAGCTGGAAGAAGCCTGGCCTGGAAGCAGGAAATGGCAGAGCTTCAATGTCCACTGGGATGTTGTGAGAAGCAGCATTCATCAATTTAGTCATTTGTCTTGTATTAGTGCTGAAGTAGCTGTGTACCATTTGTAATCTTAAATCATCTTTTGAAGACCATAGATCAGAGATGTAGACACTCCAATGCAGAAACATATGCTGTGTAAAAACACAGAAGCCTTCCAGTGTCTGAAGGGGCCCTACAAGGATGCTGGAGAAGAGACTGTTCATCAGGGACTGTAGTGATAGCACAAGGGGTGATGGGTTCAAACTGAAGCAGGGGATGGCTGGAATCCAACCTTATGTATTCCATGTATGTCTTTGACATCTGAGATGGTCCTGTTGAACATGGCAATGATATGTGGTAACTTAATTACAAGCCTGCAGTGGAACACTGGCTATTCCATACCTGCACCTATGACACAGAGTGCCAGTGTAGTTACTACTTGACAAACGTTTGGCACTTCTTACTTGCTATCCAAGGTGACTGGATTTCTGCATTTCTACTGCACCCTTGAAAAAACCTTCTGAGCTCCTAACCACTCTGCGTGATAGGTGAGTGTTAACCTTAACTGCAGGAGAGCAAGATGAGATTGTAGGGACAGCTTTCTTCCTGACCATTCAGATGTTGGGAGGAACCTAGGGAAGTCAGAGTGGGACAGATCTGTGGAGCCTTGTAGGCAGATTCTCTTTGGAGTAGTGAGGAACAAGCTCTGTTCAAAATGCTTTGTTGAGCAGAACTCAATCCAGAGGGATTCATTCATATGTTTACTGATTTATTCTCCGAATAAAGAGGTACTGTTGATGAGAGTAAAGAGATTTGTATGCAAAAAGAATGGTGGGAAGGGATCTGGGACGTTCTTATACTGATTTTCTCCTTTTGCTTCTACTGACAAACCCCAGGTATTTCCAGAGCAGGAAGCAGTGATTTCATCAGTGTGATTGCTTTCCCTCTCCCCCATCAGCTTGTCATGCAACGCACACTAGTAGTACTAGCCTGGTTTTGTGAATTGTGTGGGGCAACTTGTGTGAATATGGTGGTTTTCTTGTCTGAAAATACAGGTTTTGTGTGTTCGAACTACTTTTGTCATGATCCATCAAGGCTTTCAGGAACATTGGCCATGTTACCAAGTGGTTTGAAGATGCCACCAAAGAGCATGCACTGTGAGGTGTTAGCAGGGTACATCCCATGATGGCAAGATGCCTTGTCACTAAGTTGTGTTGCACTGCTGTTTCCAAAAGCACAAGTACTTTGTAAATCGGCTGCTATCTTTAACCAGAAAATCCCAACTCATCCTGGCTGTGCAGTTGCTGACACACTGTTGGCAACAGAAATCGGAACAGGCTGACCTTGAGTGTTTAACAAAGGATTAGCAACTGACTCCTTTCTGAGCAAAGCCTGATTCTTTTTCTGCTTAACCATTCTGTTTGGTCTCATAAGAAAGTGACCTCACAGGATTCACTTTAAGCCTCAGGGCTGCAGAAGAATCAAAATCAATCTTCTGAAACATTTGTCAAGATGCCAAGCAAGAGCTGGGAGGGGGAACATGCATTTATGTACACGTACACACACTCCCTATTAACAGTCGGTTTGGATGCTTACAAGCGAAACGAGGATTTTCGGTTTAATGGCGACTTCTTCCACATGTGCACGCTCTAAGAGCCAGGAAATATTGATGAATACTTTATGATTTCCTAGAAGGATGCTGTGTCTTAAGAAATCCGATAAGGTGGTTCCATCATGGAGGACTTACTGTGCTAAACCTTGTTTAATGTTTCCAGGCACAAGCATCAAAATTGCTGAGAAGTGTATTGTGTGTGGCATAAAGCTCACCTAAGCCTTACTTCAGATGCAGTACCTTGTTTTGCAGCTCTGTTTTCCATGAAACAATACAAGTGGTGACCTAGGGTATGGAATATGTTTTTGTGTTTTAAAGCTTGTGTGTAATTTTTCCGTGATTTGAACAAATGGCAGCAGTTAAATTGCACATCACAGACTATTGTTTAAAAGTTGGGTGAAACTTAGATTCTTCCACGTTTCAAAGTGGCATATTGCAATCTGGTTCTAATTGCTGGGCTTGAAGAAAGTTGATGTCCATGTTCATCGCATTGTTCCTCCTCATGTCTAAGAACTGTGTTTGTAATTTCATTAACAAAGAAACAGCTTGACTGGTGCAGAGTAACATGCAAGTCTGAAGCTTCATTTCCATAGGAATTTTATCCCGCAGTGTTTAGCTTTTGCCGCAGTTCCGCATGGCAAAGCAAACCCAAAGTCTTAAATTGGCATTTGATCTTAATTTTGCAACAAAACTTTGATTCTTCATCGCAACAGTTCATCACCATCATTCCTGATATGTATATTTAAGCCATGGGACTACTTCCCTCTTTATTTCCTGGCATTCAGAACTGACACCTGTACATCAAATTTCATTCCAAGTTCTCATGAATTTCAACTATTGGTATCCGCTTTTCCCTCAGAAGCCCCTTTCTAAACACTTGGTGGTTTGACTTTGTGTTTTTCCTTGTGTCGTAGGTCTTTAAATACTTTGCACCAGTTTTGCTGTCCAGCTCCATTGTACCATACCCAGCTAGCTGTCCCTGCCACACACTCAGAGTACAGGTAAGAGTAGATATGGTCCACCCACTTTTTGGTGTTGAAGGGAGATCTAATGTTACAATTCTCCATCAGAAAAGGAATAACAGCTTAAGTTTTAAAAGGAAAAAAAGGATTAGAAAAACATGCCAACCATTTTTAACATCTCCTAAGAGAGTTCTGTTCACTTCTCTCAGCCATTCCTGAATGAATTTACTCAGTAAAATGAGTTTCATGTGCTTTAAGAGGCACATCCCCTAGACTCTTTGAAAGGTAGGAAGAAGCTAGTTGTAGGTTTAGTTCTCACATGAAATGCTTATAGAGTTTATGTGGGATACTGATGTTGTTCTGAGCAACGCTTTTTTTAACTTCAAACTATTTCCTGAGAGAGTGAGAGGTGAGCCATGCATTGTGGCACTCTGAAGGCTAAAGGCATGGATTTGCCAGAGGCTCAGCACTGCCTTCTGGTTGGAGTAGAAGTAAGGAGGTTTTAGGCAGATACAGGCCTTGATGCCAAACAGTCTGCCCTGAATGTATAAAAGATATCTATCTTTTCCAGCTAAGAATGCTCCATTTAACATAGATGTCTTAACTGTGTGTTTTCCAAGTTCTCTTTGGAATGTGGAGAGCAGTAATTCTGCATCTTAGCACAATACATTGTCAGTGCCAGTGTTTAATTAATCTTATAGAAGTGTGGAAGGACAGCTAATGTAATTAGAAATGTGAAAACTGTTCCACAATTGTGCATGTTATGAAAACATTGTCTTTAATTTTTACTTGTACTGTTAGCGTTTAACTCAGTGATAATTGCCAGCTCATGAATAATATTAATATCACAATATTGGAAGTCTGGTGCTGAAAAATCAAATCACTTTACACTGGTAATAAGGAAAGACAAAAACAAAGAATGAATCCTAAATCTGTAAATGCATAAACATAATTGTGATTTGAATCTGTCATCTCTTAGTTATCTCTAACCATGCATGTTTGGATTCATCCTGTTGTTTTACATTGCAGCATCTGTTTGTATGTTTGGGGTTTTTTTCCCTCCCATCTGAGCTTTTGGTTTTCTTTGGTGGTAGTGAATCCATAGTTGAGTTGTAAGAGAACTTTGTATTCCCTGTGAGGAGCGGAGTCTGAACACTATTATATTCCCCACTTGCTTTTAAATGAGGCTTTTCTTTTTCTTTTGGTCTGAACTTATAATGCTTTAGTTCTAAGGACTTTGTTAGAGAGCTTCCTATAGGAATGTTTCTTGAATGTTTCAATATTTTGCTTCATATAGGTTGTTATTTTTATCAGTAGTATTTCTTCTGCAATTTAAACTTAGAGCAGCATAACTTTGTGCTTAAAAAATCCTAAAATCCTCTACATTCTTTTGTCTTTTTGCCTTTGTGCAATAAACAATAAATGCCCAAAGCGTGTCTGAATCTGCAGAGCATGAACTGTTTTTACAGTGCTAATGCATAAAACAACATGCAGATTTGGGTAATCATAGAATCATGGAATAGTTAGGGTTGGAAAGGACCTTAAGGTCATCAAGCTCCAACCCCCCTGCCATGGGCAGGGACACCTTGCTCTAAACCATATCACCCAAGGCCTCGTCCAACCTGGCCTTGAACAATGCCAGGGATGGAGCACTCACAACCTCCCTGGGCAACCCATTCCAGTGCCTCACCACCCTAACAGGAAAGAATTTCCTCCTTATGTCCAATCTAAACTTCCCCTGTTTAAATTTTAACCCATTACCCCTTGTCCTGTCACTACAGTCCCTAATGAAGAGTCCCTCTCCAGCATCCCTATAGGCCCCCTTCAGATACTGGAAGGCTGCTATGAGGTCTCCACGCAGCCTTCTCTTCTCCAGGCTGAACAGCCCCAACTTTCTCAGCCTGTCTTCATACAGGAGGTGCTCCAGTCCCCTGATCATCCTCGTGGCCTCCTCTGGACTTGTTCCAACAGTTCCATGTCCTTTTTATGTTGAGGACACCAGAACTGCACACAATACTCCAGGTGAGGTCTCACGAGAGCAGAGTAGAGGGGCAGGATCTCCTCCTTCGACCTGCTGGTCACGCTCCTTTTGATGCAGCCCAGGATACGGTTGCTTTCTGGGCTGCAAGCGCACACTGAAGCCGGCTCATGTTCATTTTCTCATCGAGCAGCACCCCCAAGTCCTTCTCCTTGGGCTGCTCTGAATCTCTTCTCCGCCCAGCCTGTAGCTGTGCCTGGGATTGCTCCGACCCAGGTGTAAGACCTTGCACTTGGCATGGTTAAACTTCATGAGGTTGGCATCAGCCCACCTCAGAAGCCCATAAGACCTTCAGCTTTTGTTTAAGGATTGGGGTGTTTGAAGGAACTTGTTGTTGACCTTGTTTGCTGTCAAGGAAGCTTAGGTCTCAAATTCTCCAAGTATATGTATATATATAGCCATAACTCAGCTGGGATTGGTGGAGATATGAGAACTTCCTACAATGCGTAGACAGTAGTGTTGCCCCCACCTAATGGTGATGGAGCAAACAATGGGTTGGCCATTGGCTGCCAGGAAACTTAATGAGCTCAATATCTCCCTTACCCCTTTCATGGCTATCAGGTCTACCAGCAGCATGAGCTCTGCTGTTGCGGCGGTTCAAGGATTAGACATGATTTTGTTCTCCACTTACCTCTTTCCCCCAGCCCAACACCCAAGTTACTTTGGGATTAAGATGAGCTTTTGCAAAAGATATTAATGAGCAGCAGTGCGCCTGTGCAAAGTGGCCAGCCGCAGAGTGCCAGCAGGCTGACAGAGGCATTTCTCCCTTTTGTCACCACTTGTGAAACCTCCTCAGGAGCATCTGGCTTTTTTAAAGACATCAGAATACTGCAGCAAGCCCAGGAAAGGGCCATCAAGGCATCCAGAGGCCACAGTACGTGAGGATAGGCTGAGAGAACGAGGGCTGTGCAGCCTGGAGAAGTCTCAGGGCTGGAGCTGTCTTCAGCTCCTTAGTTAGGAGTATGGAAAAGGTGCAGCCAGCCTCTTCTAGGAAAGGAGGATAGGACATGTCTCAAGTAGTACCCTACACACAAATGCAGTGGTATGTTAGAACCAGACTGTTGGAGTCTTCCTCATGTTAGGAATTCAGTTTACCCGCAAGTTGGATTTCTGAGGCTGTGGTACCATAGAATCATAGAATAGTTTGGGTTGGAAAGGACCTTCAGATCATCCAGTTCCAACCCCCCTGCCATTGGCAGTCACACCTCACACTAAACCATATCACCCAAGGCTCTGTCCAGCCTGGCCTTGAACACTGCCACGGATAGAGCATTCACAGCTTCCCTGGGCAACCCATTCCAGTACCTCACCACCCTTACAGTAAATAACTTCCTCCTTATATCCAATCTAACCTTCCCCTGTTTAAGTTTTAACCCGTTACCCCTTGTCCTGTCTCTACAGTCCCTAATGAAGAGTACCTACACTCCCTACAGTTTTATAGGCCCCCTTCAGATACTGAATCCAAACTGAATATTTGTATCCAAACTGAATATTGCACCTTGCCATCACTACATCTATAATCTCAAACTATCAGTACAAATTATGCACCTGGCTTTGTGAGCAACCTCTACCTGGGAATCCTATTGCTGTGAATGAAAATCAGCTACTAGGACATTGACAAGACTGGGCTTTCAATTTCCACATGCATGTAATAGTATTAAATTTAGCTTTTAGTCTTCCCATTTATCAGTTTATAAATAGAAGTCATTAGAAGCAGAGCTAACAGAAAGGGATGCTTCAGTCTAAGTGCAGTTTTGAAGCTTTATTTAGAAGATGCACAGAGGGATTAATTTTGCAGCCCAGAATTAAAAATTAAATTTGCTCAGAAAGCAGCACTTAATGACTGCACTACAGTGATACAGAGCAGCTCTGATTCGCTCTTAGGTAATTGCTGGATGTTTTATTCACTCCAGCAGTTTTATTTCTAGTCAAGACGATCTTTGGCATCTGTTTTGAATTGTTAATAGGGAAATAATGCATTTTTAATAACTGCAGCTATTGCAGTAATCCCTTGCTTGCTCATTTTACAATGTTCAAAATAGACAGAAATAATAGAAGTTATCTTGCATACTTCGACTACAAGCCAAGTCTTAGGAAGCCTGAGCATATCATGTCCTCCCAGTTAGTTATTTGTCTGTGTTCCAGTTAGCCCATATGCCTCCTGTGTTTGCTCTTTTTGAGTTATTTTTGTCTGGAAATGAAACAAATAGTAAAGATCCCAGTGAAGTCTGTAATTGGTTTGTTTGACTTCCTTTCCCTTCCTGCCTCCTAAAGTAGAGCCTTAAAAACAACATATTCTAGTTCAAAGCTGCATATTCCACGAGGTATATTTGTTAGTGATCGTTTGAATACAGGTTTTATGTCAGGTGTGAAGGACAAAGTAAAGGAGACAGTGGTACAGCCTAGAGTGGGTTCCAAAAGGGCCTGGATGCTCATAGTCTTGTACTTGAGCTGCTGAGCCTCTTGCTTGGTATGGCCTGGAGTATCTCAGTGGCCTTCCAGGTAGTGTATGTACAAAGCAAGGCTCGGAGGTAAAACAGCATTCAGAGACAGTAAGTTTCATCATCTGGTTTCTTGCTTGAGGAGCAGTCTGTTCCCAGAGTTTTCCAAACACACCTTTCTAAACAAACCTGTTAGTACTTCAGCCTGTCTCTATAGGTGCTAGATGCCTTATACCAATACCATGCACCTTATAGTTGTCAACTCGGAGCGTATCAGATGAATATTCAGGTTACTCAGCTGTTTACACCACTCCTGAACATGCAAGTTCATTTACAGTCTGAGGAGAGCTCACCAGCCCACCCTTGGAGAAGGCTTCCTACTCTGCTGGGCTTTTTGCCTTTGGTTTTGTATTTCATGCTCTGTAGCCCTAATGCTGCTGTAGCTGTCAGTTACTCACGTTTGCCTCATGAGTGTTACAGCAGAAATAGCTGTAGGAATGCTGCACACAGGAAGATATCATGTAAAAGAGTGTACATGCTTAGGAATATAAAGTCATATT